AAGCGTAAGCATAAGTTTTGGTAACCAGATTGGACGAAAAATACTATTAGTACTTATTTTTTTTCTAAATGTCTGAGTCTAGAATAAAAATTGTAGTGTTAGGTACAAGGGAACTTATTTTAATAATAATGTTTTATGAATTAATATGAATAATCCTATTATTTTATAGCTTCGGTAAAAAAGATGTTCAGTTTTTAAATTTAAAATATAAAATAATTACTACAACATAATAATATGAATATGCGTGCAAGTCAATTTTATCTACATTAAGAATCTTTAACATCTATTTACATTCGAAAATGCGCACTAAAGCATATAAAAATAAAATACATTTCCGTCTAAACTTTAAAAATCAATTTAATAATATTATTTATTCTTACAGCAACGTATGTATATGTAAGGAAACACGATAATTCAAATTTGAATTTAATAGTTTTTGCTGACACGACTTACAAGTGATATCCATTTCGATTCGCATAATTTTGCATATACATACATACTTACACTGAACAAATGTACTGTGGGTACTAGCATGTACAATGTACCGTCAGCAACAAGAGTCACGCTCCTAATTATAGAAGCATTCCCAATCAATTACCGACTATGTGCAACAAAAGTGTTGCGACCACTTCATCTGATGTACGGTTCGCAAAACAATTAAAATTGATTGTAATTTTAATGTTAATTGATTTTGTTCACGTGTGTAAAACTATTATAATTGAAATTTAATTTTAAAATTATGACCAAAGATTATTTTGGTAAATCTATCCTAGTGTAATATATAAAATATGTGAAAGTTTATGACAATGTATAATGTACGTATGTTTGTTAGTTTTTCGCACAAAAACGGCTGAAGCGATTTGGTTGAAATTTGGTATGTGCACCTATAGGTGATATCCTGTATTACAGCATAAGCTTGCTTTGAATCGACGGGCGGAAGATACATTATGTTAAAATAATGTCAGTGTTTATTTACAAAACTGACGTAGGTTGACTAGGTTAGGCTAGTGCTCAAATTAATTTATCAAAGCCCAAGCAAACGTCGGCGTTCGCAGTTTCGCACACCTATTGTTTTTCTCTTATGTCTCGAATTACCACGATGAAAAGGTTATTTCAAAAAAAAAAAACAATGATTCCTATTTCATACCTCATTTAAACACCTAAACACAGTCTTTTTAATACAAAAAATTGACGTTGTGTGTTTAACAGTCAAACTGCGCTGTCAGTCGCTGGCGACAAGCCAAAATACTAATGTCCCATTGAATAGTGCTATTTGTAAACTGAACAGAACGTTACAAGTATAAACAGAGCTTTAACGGGCCGAAGCTCTTAATAGATCATTTAAGGAGGGCCATGAAAATAGCGAGAGACTCTTTTTATAAATTGTAATTATAGTAAACGGTTAGAAATTTAAAAAAAAGGTGGATGTTTTGGATATGTTGTTAAAATGATCTTATTATTTTTTAAATAGAAGCTAATTATGTTAATAAGCAAAACTCATATTTTCCAGTTCAACTGAACATTTATATCTACCTATAGCGCATTTTCATAAAGCTATTAATTGTTCAAATGTGAAGCATTAATAAAGTCTCTTTTGTACTTTTAACATCAAAGACAAAAGTTTAAATAATAAAATATGAAAAATGAAGCCATTAAAAACTTCAAGCACCTCTTTAATACAACTTAACGTTCTTTGTGTGATAAATTAACAAAAAAAAACATATTTTGTTTTACAACGAAAAAAGATCGGTAGATACATACATAGGAATAGAAATTTCGTTCTTTCATAGAAAGGTTTAGTTAAAAAATCTTTTCATCTAGTTTTATCTGATTCAATATATTCATTGGTTGACATACATTCGATCTGTATCTAATAGTCGTTTCTGAACATAAAAGCGCTCACTAAAATAGTTTTCCGAACATAAATTAAACGTTTAAAAGGCGATTCACTTCCGCGTTTTCTATGGCCCTCTTTATGAGGTAGAGATTGAGTGCTGATGAATGGTCTCCGTTAAGGATTCGTTTGATCGCCAGATAAATATTGTGGGCGTTTTGTAAAGGAATCCGGGCGCACACTTAATAGTGCTTTGTCGACGGAATAAATTATTAACACCGCCATTTTTCTCAAACAACGTATATATATTTTTTTAATGCGCCGTTTTCAATTTTCGAAAAAATTTTCGAGTTGCGGCGAGAATTCGGCAAATGAGTTTTTAGTTGCTACGGTTCGAATGTGTTTTATTTTTTTTATTATAATGTAACGCTATGATGATTGTTTATAATACTATGCGGTACGAATTGTGACAAATACATATATTAAGAATTTTATTATACTTTTCTTTTTTAATGTTTATAACTAATCGCTTATGATGACTAAAATATGAATGTAGTTTAGTAGTTGAGGTATTGGCAATATATTGCAACTAATATTACTTTACATTAACGAATAATAAAAGAAACGTGTAATGTTAAGTATCCCGCAAGACGCAAAGAATGCCCGCCTCTCTTGTACAGACAACAAAAACGTCAAGTATACGCTGCCCGTTTAAAATATTGGAATGAATGACATACCACGCCTCGCACGATTAATGGTGGTGCGCACACAAAAAGCAAACATGCTCATTAATATATCAACTGTCTTTTTAGCAGCGCAACTGAAACATTAGGTACCGTCAGCAGAAACGTACAGGACGAGAATTGATTTCCATTTTTAAGTCGCACAAAAACTCTCGGCACTTTTCGTAATTCATTAGCTAGACGTTTCTGTTTAAAAACAAAAAGTCGCTAAGTCGTCAGTGTGCAACAATGGGGAATGTATTTAAACGCATTTTAAATGTCTCATATTTCTCTCGTCGCTCACAACACGGACATAAGTCAGCCGTGTAACATCTGTAGCCAATATCTCTTTATACAATTAACAAGACAACGAGAACAGACAGGCCCATATAAGTATTTTTAAAGGAGGTAATTTAGCTCCCGAGTAATCTTAAGAAACGCCCCACACGTGCGCCCGCGACACGTTTGAACTTTACATTATTCTTGTAGCCTCTTTCTCATTAATAATGCGAGAAATTTCTCAAAACGGAATACAGTAGCGTTTATTAAAATACGTTTGTAGAATGAACAAAAAAAAACGACGAGATAAAAAAACGATGTGCGGTAATTTAGTTATCTATTTAGAATAGAAAAAAAAGTCGGCACTTAAATCGTTAGTGTGTATCGGCTCTTAGCTTTATTTCCGTCTTGTCGTCGGTACTTGCTTTGACGTCTGCTAAACACGACATTAATACACTTTGACTTTTTTTCGACTGTCACATAATTTACTTGTTTTTTTGTACTTTTTTGTGGGCCATTAGCTATTAAGCGAGTGTACAGTTTGACATTGGGATTAACATGTCGTCCGAAGCGCCATACTACCTACTAACGTTTTAATATCTCAAAAGTAATTACATATTGCAAATGTTTTTCACTCGTTGTTTTGTATTCGAACTAGGATTAATTAATCATTTCGGCTCTTATCGTAAAATCAAATCTCTACAAATATTTTGATTGAACTTGTAGTATGTCTTTTAACATAGAAAATCAACTTCGAGAACATTTAGCTCAATAATAATTTTATTATACATCATTAAGCATAATGACGTGCCACCGAAAATGTGTCATAAGCACAATAAAACGAAAGTCTAAACACGTGTTCGTCAATCAATCAACGATCACAAACATTAATTAGTACTTAAATACCAATTAGTTGATAGATAATTATGTAGGTTAGAGTACATTAAAGCTGTCGAATAGAGCCGCCAATAAATTTCAAACTTTAGGAGCCAGTTTTTTATTGAATCACACCCAAATTACTAATAAAACCAGAATTTCGTTGACGAATCCACTGCCACTAATAAACGGTCGAGATGATTCAGATGGACATAAATTTATTATACAATCACGGATTAATTTGATTGATGAAATAAACGATCGTAAAGTTACACAACGGATTACACGTGCCCAGGACGATGATGGGATTACAAAAAAAGAAATCGATTTCAGAATTTAAAAACCAAGTCGTAATGACAGATCCAATCATGATTACAAGAGGGCTTTGAACACAAATGCTTTGACTACTGAGTACCCAACAAAATTGTTATCTCTCTTCATATCTGGGTCGTGTGGGCGTTAATCAATTCTTTTCTAACCAGCTGTGGCAATAAAATCAACGATTTGCTTACTAATACGCTTGTTTTCGTCGCTAAATAAGTTTGAAAATTACCTCGTGGAGATTTTATCGGGATCGGATCGCGGTTCTCTTCCTTTAGCCTTTATTTTATATGAGTTTTATTATGCGATTTATTGTGAACGAACGGACCGACATTCCGATCGTCATTCGGCTGCTTTTGTGTTATTGAGATGTAACAGTAAAGTTCATGCTGGCCATATTTGCCCTTGGAACGCCTGGAGATAAAATGTTACCATTTATCATTATTAATATTCATACCACTTCCATATATGAATTTCGAAATACTTGTGATGAAGAAAAATGTGATTGAAAAAGAAATCTGGAGGTTTAACGATTAATTAATTAGTCGTAAAAGACGTTTAGAGGAAACTCACGTTAACATTTCGAGATCCACTTTAGAATATTAATGTCCATCTTGTATGTTATCTGATGGTGCACCTGCAGAGCCAATCTCTTTTGACATATCTCACAAAGACTGCGAAACATCATTAGAGATCGTTTCGTTTACAAATTAGCCTGATTAATTTTACTGCCCACTGCTTTATTATGATACCCAGTTTTGACTGCATTACGCAAAAATCTGAATTGGCAATTTAGGCAAAAGTTGTATGAATTTGATGGAAGATTTGAGTGCAAAATGTGGTCACTGATAAATTTATTTTGGATTTTTTTTAATGAGTTTCTCTTGTGGTCGTTTGAAGACAACATTATCATCTTTAAATAGTTCGTTGTATTATTTGACTTATCTTTTTCTCTCTTTTGTTAACAGATGCCAATGGTGAGCCTGCGAAGTTGAAGTGTAATCTCCGTAAGCACAAACCCAATCGCAAGCCACGCACCCCCTTCACCGCACAGCAGCTCCGAGCGCTAGAAAGCAAGTTCGTCGACAAGCAATACTTAAGTATTGCGGAACGAGCTGAGTTCTCTTCGTCTTTAGGACTCTCTGAAACTCAGGTAAGGATCAGATGAATATGATATTTGGTTGATAGCATAATAAAAATTTAGTGCAATCGGTCTTCATGACTAGGTCTTATGAAAAAGAGCGAGGTAGTAATATATTTTACAAATATTTCGATAATAATCTCTGAATGATGACACATTCACATATTTCAAATGGATATCAAGAAGACTGGACTAATAACAATATTTTAACTTGTCAACAGGTAAAAATCTGGTTCCAAAACCGAAGAGCGAAAGCGAAGCGTGTTCAGGAGGCGGAGATCGAGAAACTCAAAATGGCGCAGTTTTCTCGCCACCCCCACCATTTGTACCCCCACCCCGCGCTGCAGCAGTATTTCCACCCGCACCACCTCATGGCGGGAGGGCGACCGTTGCCTCCCATGGGCCTGCCGCCACCACATCTAACTATGGTCCAACCACCTGTGTCAAACGGATCACCGTCTCCAAGCACACAAACTACCACCCAACAGTGATTAAAAAGACGTTATAAAATGTGAATTCAAATTCGAATTCGGAACTATCGAACGCCGAGCCGTTAAAAACAGTTCCGTTTATTTAAAAAGAATGTTTGTCTGCTGTCGCTACCGCCTCGGTTGTGAATGCAGAATGTTTAAGAAAAAAAACCTTGTAAATTATTTTGTAAATATTAGTTTAAAGGGAGTTTAGACAATATCGTGTATTAGTTATAATTTTCAGAATTAATTTAATGTAAACTTAGTAGGTAAACTTTACCTTTCAACCAAAATTTTGTTTGTGTAAGTACAAAATTCCCCTTCGAATCAAATATGAACTGTATAATTGTGTAAATAGAGTTTTATTTTGTACATTGTTACTTTTATTGTGTAGTTAAAAATATATTTCTTTGATATTGACAAAATATTGTTTTATTATTTGCCTATTTACATTTAATTACGTACATTATTATAATTGTATTTACGTTCATAATTGCGTACTTTGAGATAAGGATGATTTTGCAGCGTGACCCCTCGATAAGAATGGCAGACGTGATTAAAATACAAATATAAAGTGCCTATAACCATAACAATTTTCATTGATTAACTTCTAGAACCTAATGAGGAGAGTTGCATTCTAATTTGAACTTTAGAGTTGTGTAGGAGAGATGATTTTCAGTTGTGTTATTTTTTTCTGTTTGATCTCAGTAGCTTACAATAAGAACCGATAATAATATGTTGTCAATTGAGTGTGGAGCACTAATTTAAATATATCCATTAAAGTTAATTGTCTGATAGCGCAGGGTCAGGTCACGACGATATCGGCGATAGCGGGTCGCTCTTATACAGGCTGATACGAAGAAATGAAAAATATTTAAAAACATCTCTATGACAATAGAAACTAGAACTTAAGTAGGTTTATACATTATATTTAAATGAACTAGAATTTTTAACCACAGTTTTTAACCTCACAAAAATTTGATGGCATGATCTTCCAAGCAAAGATAATTATTAGGTAATTGATTGATACCGACGTATTTTTGCTGATATTTTACGAGACACTACTAGAGCAGTTTTGTAGGAAAGAAATAAGAAAGTAATATGAAGGAAATTTGGAGAGCTTGCTTTGGTACGAATGGAGAGGGCTCAACTGAAGTGATACCATGATCTCTCAGAAAACCAGCGGGAAATAACACTTCTTACGTCGAGAGTGCCTATACAAGTGAAGTTACGAAAGACCCAAACCTTACCACAAAATCCCATATTCTTTTAATCTTCCAATCAAGGCACAAGCAACTTCTTTGGTGTTGCGGAGGTCCAGCGGCGGGGCTGGCTGCTTACCACCAGGTAATCCATCAGCTCGTTTGGCGCTCTGTACTATACAAACAACAGAACAGAGACAGTAAGTACTATTTTAATATTTTCTATAAAAAACTTAGTACCTATGCACTATGTATAAGATTAAAGCCACGATAAAAAAAATTACAACAGCCTTTATATAATGGATTTGGGGAATAAATTTCGACTGTTCGTGTATCAAAAACAATTTTTATCATTAAATTTATTATTCATATTGGTGATTTACCTACATCGAAGATGGCCCAATTCAGTCGGTGTATACCAATTAACAAAATGATAAACATCGTTTCTTTCGATGATGTAATGACGTAATCATCATCAAATGCTGATTAACCTATCTGCTGTAGGCAAAATCAATAATTATTGAAAAAGAGTAATTATGAAGATTCTTGTCGTTGTCTCTCATATGAATATACACTTTTAGTGTGAGGGGAAAATCATCAAATGACTTTTCCTGCTCATAGTATCAGACTCTTTCTGACTAAAAACCCCCCTCCTGCTCTGGGCCGAGGCAGCGGTGACTCATTTTCCCCTCACAAAAAAAGAACTATATACAGGTAGATTAAAAAACAAACACTAGGATTTTCTCCTGTGTCTGTGGGTGCGGTTACAAACATACAATTTTACATACACATGATACCCAGACCCGGAACAACAATTCGTGGATCACCCAAAGATTTGTTCCGTGCTGGATTCGAACCACACCAACCGTGCAGTCAGATTTTATTTGAGAGGGATCCCTGAAAGTCATAAAATTATTTCTACTGCCCTGGGTGGGGCAAGAAGAAGTGACAGAGTCACACTTTTACTGACTAAAAACCATCACGTTCTTTCTCCAGTTCACTTGCCCACTTTTTATATACTTAGACAAAAAATATACAAATGAAAAACGTTTTTTTTTTCATTTTGCATTCCACTACAATACAATATTATTATACCCATTTCAACAAAACCAACAATCTCGTGTGACTACACAACTATCACACAAGCAAAAGAGTTTTTTATTTAACATCATCCAAAGCTACACATGTCATTAAGAGTTTCAAACTAAAGCGCTTCACATCATTACACGCGAATGGATCTCATCACCATAAGATTACCACATCCTAATTAATCTACGGCTATATAATTACTAAGTAATTAAAAATAACTTATTCATTTAGAGGCGGTTCTCTTCCCACTTAATTGGCTAAATTAATCAATTTAATGTTGCGTGCTTGTTAATTTTCAGGCCACAAGCCAGTCCTTGTTTCAGGCGAATCGGGTCGGCTCGGATTTGGCTCGAGAATTTGTAATAGTCAATTGGAAACAGTAGTCTCAGTTTGAATAGTGGTGGTGATGTATGAAGCGGAGTTTGTTTTTATTAATTATTTTCCGTAGGGGTTCAGGCTATTTCTGCAAAACAATAATGGTCGCAAAGAAGGAGGCGGATTCCGTGAAGGAAATATCCTCATCAAGCCGCAGCCGCCGTAATTAAAGACACTCCGGGCGTTAAGGATCGCGTCACTATCTCTGGCTACCGTAAGAACGAGTCCGCGGACGGCAAAGGCAAGGATAACTCGCTGCCCGACCAGTACGGGCCCGAGCGTAGGGCGCGAAGCTTTTTGCGCACTTATCAAAGACCTATGGGACCACTACAGATAGGGCTGATCAGGGCTGATGTTCAGACGGGGTTACGGGTCAAGTCCAATAAAATACCGCGGTCGCAGCCTGAATCAGGAGAAGGTACGGGGTGTATAATTTTAGTCAGTGAGATTGATTCTTGCTTATCCTAGGCGAGTTGATGACTTTCACTCGTACAAAAAAAAACGTGTTCAAGTTAGAAGTCCAATTACTTGCTTATCACGGCACCGGTCCGTAGAAGGAGAAGAAACAACATGGTTTTTCGTCAGTAAGGGTCTGACACTTCCTCTCGGGACCACCCGGGGGGAGAAGAAGTTTCTTCTCTTTATAACTGCCATTACTGCACCTTTCTTTCACTACATCCAACACTTGTATCAACCCTGTCACGCTCATTAAAAACAAACCTACCGTCAACTAATCTTATATATATAAGTGATTATCTAATTTTCTCGCAAACAATTTCTCAACATCAAATAATATTGTGCATTAAGCACCTACAATTAAAGTTTATATTTGGACGGCAGCTTACTGTTGAGTGACACGGCAATTTGAATTGCTTGAAGCGTATCACATTTGTAGGGGTTCAAATACTTCTGTTGAATTATATCAAAGAGTGTCATTTTGTTTGTATTTGTCTGTAGTAATTTAAATAAGACTGAATTTTTAATAAATTTTAAATTACCTATGAATTTGTATAAATAAATTAAGTATCACAAAATGAAACACGGATGTATAATTCATAACAACAGCAGTAAGCTTCTAGCTTGCTTAATAAAATTAATGTGACATGTTTATCACCAACAGATTTTTTAAGTGTGGGAGAGCCATGCTTAAGCACGTATGGGTCGGCTCAACCGGAGTGATACCACGGCCTTACAGAAAACCGGCGTGAAACAACCACAGCATTGTGTTTCGCCGTGTGAAGGTAACCGGAGGCCCAATCCTTCCCCTCCCCCAATCCCTCCTCAATCCCTAAATCTCCAAATCCCTAATCCCTAAAAGGTCGGCAACGCACTCGTAACTCCTCCGTTATAGATATTATTGAAATTGTAAACCATTTTTTTAAGAGTAACGATTGAGTTTCTTGCTCGTTCTTCTCAATTCGAATATACAATTTGAAGAATGAGCACCTAGCTTCACTGACGATCAGACTGACAGACTACTTACTTTTCTATTTCGACGTTCCAAAAGTACCTACATATTTATGGTTTAGTTGGAATAAATGATTTTTGACTTTTGCCAGCTCGTGGGAGTCCAGGGTTTGTCATAAATTATACTTTACCACTTCACCGTCACCTCCCCGAGCGTAGAGTTCCGCGCGCGCCTCAAAGAGCCAACAGACCACCAGAGACAGGGCTCAACAGGACCGAAGTTCAGCCGGGGTTGCTGGGCACGCGCAATAAGGTACCGCGGCCTTGATCTGGAGCTGGAGAAGGATTGAGGTTTATTTAAATTGATAATTCCCCCCCCCCCCCCCCCTCCCAAAGCACAATGTTTAACCCAGCGGGTGAAGAAGAACGCTTGGTGTTAAAACTTTGGAAAGACATAATAAATTATTATTTGTTTGATCATCCACCCTTAGACAACCTAAGTACGACGCGCAACGTTCTATCGCACTCGTGGTCAATTAGTGGTGGAACAGTTACATTAGTAAGTCGTTAAATAATATTTAAGATTATCAATGATCGCTGTTGTTGTACTTTATGTGATCTCAATCATACTAGTTGATACGAGTAATATACCTTACCAGCTCAAAAAAAAAAATGTTGGAGAGTCAAGCTTCGGCACGAGTGGGTCGGCTCAACCAGAATGATACCACGGCCTCATAGAAAACCGGCGTTGTGCTCGCCGTGTAAGTGAGGTTACTGGAGGTTCTCTCCCAATCCCTCCACAATCAACACAAAACCCTAATCCTTAAAAGGACAGCAATGCTCTTGTAACTCCTCCGTTGAATCAGCGCATTGCTGCATGCATTGCATGGGCGGCGCTGATAGCTTACCATCAGGTAATCTGTCTGCATGTTTGCCATCCCATTGCATCTATACTAATATTATAAAGAGGTAAAATTTGTAAGTTTGTATGTAGGGGGTAATCTTTGGAACCGCTGGACGGATTGCCAAAATTCTTTCACTGATTAATAGCTACAATGTTCCTGAGTGCTATAGGCTAAAACATCACGCTGCGATCAAATGGAGCTAAGCAGCGGGTGAAGCCGTGTGAGAATAGCTAGTGAATAATAAAATAAAAAAACATATCACTGTTCAACTATTCAAGGAGCGTTTGAGTACCATTTGTCTATTGTCTCTGACAGTTCTGACTGAACGGCTGGCACTGAATTAATTAAAAATAATCGTTGTCTCCTGCAATTTTGTTGCAGCGCGCCGTTGAAATTCTAGTGCGCCGATTAGATAAATAGCTCGCAGGTATGTGATCTGTGCAA